CGGATGAACAATATGATCAACAATAATCCTCAGTTCAGGTCTCCAAATTGCTTCCGCATCGCACCATAGTGCATCAGAAGAACGAAAGTATTTAGTTTGATCATCATCGGACAGCTTCCAACATCAGATAAAAAAGCACAAAAACAAAAGAAAAAGAACTAGCATGTTTGATGACAGTATTTATCAACACATAAAGATGCAAAGGCTCAGATTTGTTTAACAGGTTTTTCAGTCATGAATTTTCAGAAGCAGAACTGGCATGTATGCTGGCGGGTGTTTCCGCTCATCCATGCTTCCGTCTACAGGATGACCAACTGTAAACAACATGCCATCCTTCCAGTTGTGAAGCACCAAACACAAAATTTGTTCAGCACTCAAGCAGAAAAAACTAAAAATCCAGTTCGGGCGGATGAACAATAATCCTCAGTTCAGGTCTCCAAATTGCTTCCACATCGCACCTTAGTGCATCAGAAGAACGAAAGTATTTAGTTTGATCATCGTCAGACAGCTTCCACCATCATAAAAAAAGCACAAAAACAAAAGAAGCAGAACAATGTTTGATGAAAGTGTTTATCAACACATAAATCTAAAAGAAGATGCAAAGGCTCAGATAAGTTTTACAGGTTTTGCAGTCATGAATTTTCAGAAGCAGAACTGGCATGTTTGCTGAAAGTGTTTATCATCACAGCCATGGTCAACCAGAACACATAAATCTAAAAGAATGACAATAGTGAGAGTTGGTCTTTTTGGCTCATATTAAGAAATTCAACCATGTTTCCCCTTGTCCTTCAAGAACTAATCAGAAGCGCGGGTAAGATTCAAATCACTGCCACTAATCAAAAGAAGTCCACATATGAGATGGGCATATGTGCAGACAAGATAACATGATAAAAGTCATTTGACGTTGATGGGTGACATCAGATAATAAGCGGAGTTTTGTAAACATATGAATGATTCAGTGCTTAGCATATAATATTTAACATCATTTGCCACCCTGGGTTTGATAGTCTTTCTTGGAAAAAACAAGGAAGACAAATAGAGCGCTTTGTGCAAGGCATCAGATAATAAGATGAGATTAATAATCCACACATGGAATTTTCCATTGAGAGTGTAGGATATCAGATCATCACTTGCCAGCTCGAAAATCCAAGAACAATATCTGAGTAGAAAATCTTGGTTAGACCATTTGACCCAAGAGCAAGGGCAAACGCTGCAAAGGGTTGGTAAGTAAACCATTTCTCTATCCGGGCCTGCTACAGCCCCCTCAGATCCGAGTGCAACTAAGAGGGACACTAGAAGCTAAGCGCAAACATGACAAAAAGCAGAAGAATAAAGACGGACATTTTTTCTCTCAGATGCCAACCACAAGGGTAGCACAGATGATGCAGACATATCAACATGGCATCAGTTCAGACCGCCCGTCTGCTTGAAACTCTTCATAGAGAAAGATTTTAAACCAAAAATTAACAACAACGATCAAAGCAAATAAAAAATCTATGCACATTTGTGTCCAGATAACAGAAAAATATCACAAAAAACCACAAATATAAAAAAAGTATAATATGTTGTTTGGTCAGATCCCTCAGAGTGATAATATAAATCTCATCAATGTATGATTCAGGCCACTACTTTTTAACATCACAAGTCATCACCGGGATCCACAGACAACAATCTCCAATTAGGAAAGAAAAATCAACCAGAAACGCTACACAGATTCCTCAGTTCAAACAAGAATATTTAAAGAGTTTCATAACGAACGGTTGAGCCGTCAGACAATGCTTTCTAGGCAAATGCATCTCCATCAGACTGCAGCAATGTTCGCTGCTCGGAGCCCAGTGCATATCATCATCCATGACATCAAGACATATACAACCAAACAATAGCAGAGCAAAAGTGAAGGAAGAGAATCAACGAACAATGGAAATAAAATCAGTGGACCAGGAACAACAGAAGATCCAATCAGTAGCCCTCTGGGATTATGCTTATGATTTTCATCAAGGAAGAAATCTCAGGTCTCAAAGATGTGCCATCACTGGACTCACAGAAATGAACTGCAGAGAACATGGCAAACTAAAAAGTCATAAAACGATAAGAATAGCATGAGCAACTTTTGGAGAATGTCATTCACCTCACCTCACAAGTAGCAGTAAGAAAGCAAGATCGACCCAAAGTATAGCAAATTTGAAAAATTCTAGCCCAACTAACATTTCGCCATAAAATTCAGTCTCCAAAATTACGCCATAACTATGTGGACATCAGAATTGCAGATTTTCACAGCATGGCACACAGAGTGCACCTATCAGTCCCGAAAGATGGTGTGTTTTGTTCATGGTTTTCCATTGTCCAGTCGTATTCTATAAATAGTAAACAACAATTAAAAAAACTGAAAAGTAGATGACACATATGTTCAGAAGTACTCAGACAAATTATGCTAAGCTGTTCAATTTGTCCTCAGAATTGCAGAATGACAGCATGGGCGCACAGCGACCAATCAGTCCCGAAAGATGGTATGATTAATAGGTTTTTCATCACCGGACAAACAGAAACAGAAACACAAACAAACAGGTCAACAAAACAGAACTTAAATTACTACAGAAAACAAATTCTGACAAAAGAAGACAAAACAGAACTTAAATTACTACAGAAAACAAATTCTGACAAAAGAAGACAGGAGGATCTAACAGCATTAGCTCTCAAGCCCTCAGACATCAGCAGACATTATGCCCGCAGACATCCAAGGAAGGATCGAACAGCATTAGCTCTCAAGCCTGGCTGGGCGAAAACTCTTAGGCAACAACTGCGAATGTTTGAGAAACAAGCCTTAAACTAATCATCGCCAGGCTTACATTAACACCAAACAACTAAAGCAAATATATGACCAGCATTGCATCAGACATCCAAGGAAGGATCGAACAGCACTAGCTCTCAAGCCTGGCAGGGCGAAAGCTCTTAGGCGGCAACTGCGAATGTTTTGAGAAACAAGCCTTGATTTTATCATCATTTGCAATGCAGCAACATTTTCAATATATTACATTTGTATAAACTTTTATAAGATCTTTTAGATAGCTACTTTAGTGATCTAAAATATATTATAAAAGTTTACTAAGGGAGGACTATATATCTCAGTTATATTGAGCTGAAAAAATAACAAGGCTCAGACATCCAAGGAAGGAATTAACAGCATCTGCTCTCAAGCCTGGCATGGCGAAAGCTCTTATGCGGCAACTGCGAATGTTCTGAGAAACAAGCCTTAAATTTATCATCATTGCCGTAAATTACAAGCAAATCAACTCAACTATATTAGGTAGCCAATTTAATCACAATAATAGGCTCCGCAGACTAACAAAATGAAGTTCCAGGTTCCTATCAATGAGTGAAAACTGATTCTTGGCCCAATTATAGATCCCCTGGTCAATGCCTGGAGCTACCAGAGAAGGACCATTGGGCCCAAGTTAGATTACGGTAGATACAACAATGAAATGGAGTTTCCAACAAAGACAGACCAACAAAAGTCAAATGGGACAGAAAAAAATGTTTAAACTGACAAAAAGCTCAGAAAGCTGCATAAAATTTCAATTGAAAACCTGTAACTAAAAAATTAAAGAGGGATAAATATATGCAATGAGCACAATGTGAGCCAGTTGTGTATCATCAGAAAATAAATGACTTCTCATTCACAGGAAAACAGCACTGTGTCAGAAGGTGTCCTAAGATTGTTTCAAGGTTTCATCACCTGATACTGGAAACAATCAATCGAAAAAGAGAGCTGTTACCACAACACGGCAGAGAAGGCTCGGAAAAACACGCACAACGATACACCATTTTTCAAAAGAAAACCAACCGTTTTCAAAAGAAAAAAATGGAACTTCAAAGTGATGGCTCGGTTCAGTGGGATAATCGGCATACAAATCAATCTCAAAAGAGACGACCTGTGATTTGGTCTGTTGAGCTTGAATATTTGCATATCCTCACTGCCATCAGCACAAACTGGAAAAGAAGCAAATCCAAATTTAAAAAAGAAGGAAGTACAGAAGTTTTCAAATCCAGACAAAGCATCAGCAACAAGACCCAAAAAAACTGGCTGGTACACTATTGCTGGGTCATTCAGCTAAGGATTCGTTCCAACCACTAATCAGTACTCTGGTATACAGCTATTGTAGCTTACAGACCATATAAAATAACAGAAGCAGGTTGCCACAAGCAGGATAATATGAGATAAAATAGGCATATGGCAAATATTAACTGGACAATGCAGTGAGATTTCCATTACCAACATCACAGAAAATTACAGATACTTGATTAGGTCTTCTTACTTCTTAGCATGCATACCGGAACGGATCACAGCTACTGACGGGAAACAAAAAAAAAGGAGGGCTGGCGCGAGACCACCTAGATCTACTTCTCGGACGAGTTGGGGCCGCGCTTCTTGCCGAAGCCGACGACGGCGGTGACGAAGCGGCGGTTGTACTGGATGCGCTTGTGGGCGCGGCCGCGCGGCTGCTTCTTCTTGTCCTGCTTCGCCACCTTGGGCGTCTGGCCCCGCACCTTCCCGGCTCGGGCCAGCGATCCGTGCACCTTACCTGAAGGCAGGCAGGCACCGCCGGGTCAGCACCAAGAAGAACCACGGCAACAGTAGGATAGGGATCTAGCGGGGGGAAGAGGGGGAGCAGAGCGTTACCCATGGCGGCTGCGGCGGTGGAGCGGCGGCGCTTCGGCGAGGAGACGGAGTGCTCGGGCGGCGGCGGCTTCTGCTGATGGGAGGTGTGCCCTAGACGGGTGGGAGATTTTATAGAGGGGAGGGCTCCGTTGTTATGCGGGCCGTGGGCTGAGGGGCCCGTGGGAGCTGGGCCGAGAGCCCGTGGCCCGTTAGGGGCCCGTAAAAGAGGTGGGGAGTGGAGACCTCCTCCACCCCCGAGAGAACAGAACCCTCGCAGAAGCGGCGGCGGCGGCGCGCGGGCACAGGAGCGAGCTCACCGGCGGCGGAGGAGAGAGGGGGCGAGATGCCGCGGCCGGAGGTGCAGGCCCCGCCGGAGATATTCTACAACGAGTCGGAGGCGCGCAAGTACACCACCTCCTCCCGCATCATCGAAATCCAGGCAAGCAACCCAAGCCCCCCTCTCGTCGCGTGTTGTGTGGGGAGCTCAGGTGGTTCCTGGTGAGGCTGACCCGGGTTATCTCCTTCTTCTTCGTCTTCGCAGGCGAGGATCTCCGAGAGGGCGCTGGAGCTGCTGGCGCTCCCGGACGACGGCGTCCCCAAGATGCTGCTCGACATCGGTGAGCTTCCTCTATACGCTCACCCACAGTACCATAGAACTACTCGATTCTCCGTTGCTTCGACAGAGAAACCATGTGTCTTGGTGAATTGCTGGCGTTTACAATCGTGGTCCTGTGTGCTGTGAATCGCAGGGTGCGGCTCCGGGCTTAGCGGTGAGACGCTGACGGAGCACGGGCACCACTGGATCGGCTGCGATATCTCACAGTCCATGCTTGGTGAGGAACTCGCCTTTGTTTGTTGCTCTTATGGACATGTTGGTGTGTCACTTAGGTTTCTGTTTGAGAGCTTCAGTTTTGTTTCCCCCTTGCAGATGTTGCTTTGGAGCGGGAGACGGAGGGAGACCTCCTGCTTGCAGACATGGGCGAGGTAAAATGCCTGCTACGGCATTGGATTAGCCGAGAATTTTTGTTCCAGATGCTATGTTTGGGTCACAGCTTGTCCTATGCAATTCTTCTTGTTATAGTTGAGTTTTATGTGTTATTAACTGTTAGAAGGTATCCTTGCTAATGATAATAATGTGCATGACTTGTGTTCAACATGATCTCGAGGTCAGACCTGATTGACACTGTAAAAGTAAATGGGCCTTCGAACCTATGTCTGGTGGGAAGATATGAGTATGAATCAAAAGAACCTGAACATTTCAGTACTGCCTTTTTCTCTAGAATAATTGTATGGTTGCCGAATGGTATCTTCTATTGCACATGCTGAACCGAAGTTCCTATGAAGATTAAGAAATTACCATGATTTCCAATCTTCGCTTCATACATCTGCGTCGACCTTTTCACATCTGTGCAACCACAGTTTGCTGTTACTTGAGCTGATATGTTATAATAACGCATCTTCCAGGGCTTAGGCTTGCGCCCAGGAGTTATGGATGGTGCAATTAGTATTTCAGCAGTCCAGGTGATTCTTCAAGTTTTTGTTTTGTTTCTGCAACTAGCTTGTCGTGTTTAGTGATTTGTTCATAACTATGCCCTTTGTTGACAATGTTGTGCAGTGGTTATGCAATGCGGACAAGTCTTCTCATGAACCAAGATTGCGGTTAAAGTACGTGAAACTATTTTGTAACGTATCCCTTGGGTTATCTGCAACCAATTCTTAACCTTGATGTGCATAATTTCCAGGGCTTTCTTTGGATCACTATATAGATGCTTAGCAAGGGGAGCAAGGGCTGTTCTACAGTTTTATGCTGATAATGTGAAACAAACCGAAATGCTCGTGTCTTTTGCCATGAAAGCTGGATTTGCTGGTGGAGTGGTTATTGACTGGCCTCATAGGTAAGGATTTCATTGCCTCGGAGCCATGGTTGTATGAACACTCTTATGGATTTCTTGTCTGCCGTGGACTTATGTGGATGCCTTTCCTCTGACAGTTCGAAAGCAAAGAAGTCCTACCTTGTCCTCACTTGTGGTACATCTTCTGTCGCATCTCTTCCAAAGGGGAAAGGTGAAAACGGTGAGATGTGCAGCAGTGATGATGACGGTGATGATGATGAGAGCAACGATGACCAAACAGTAAGCTCACTCTTAACAAGATATGTTTCCTGTTTATACATTTTGAGCTTGATTGCCTTTAATCTCTGTGTTTTGTCTACTGCTTCATTCCACCTTGATCAATGGAACTATATGTGACCCAGTTGCTGTGTACACAAACCAGTTGCATAAGAAATGTTGTTAATGACATGACCAAATAGGCCATTACTCTCTTATTATGGGATGGAAATGTTTGTTACTTTTAAGGTGATCTTTCTACCTGTCTGTGTAATATTCCCTGTGTCAACTGCTAGCATCTTCAGTTCTACCCAATAATTTCCAGATGTTTACTTTATCTGAAAACTGTTGCTATCTTGAACGGAATGAGCTAACTGTCTGTGCTTGATCAAGAATCAACTTGCATCATACTTATCTTATTCTGTTCTCTCACTTAATAGTCCATCGTTGATTGTCCTCCCATGTGATGAAGCCTTGGTGCTCTATTGGCAGTGATACATGGTAATAATGTGATTTTTCCAATGCAGGTTGGCACATATGGACGGAACAGGTCGAACAAGAGGCAGAAGGTGAACAAGAAGAACGGCAGGGGCAAGGATTGGCTGCTGAGGAAAAAGGAGCAGATGAGGAAAAGAGGCCGCGACGTCCCCGCCGACACGAAATACACAGGGCGGAAGCGGAAAACCCGCTTCTAAGTCGGTTTTCAGCAGCCATTTAGCTTAGCTTGTCAGAAGCAGCAAGAGTGTTTATGTCTGAAGAGTTGGCTGTATCGTGCTTCCATTGTATACCACCGAGAGCTATTCTTAAGATATGCAGCAGTTTTGGCAAATGCTAGTAGTGTCATGTTTGTGAGGATATATGTAATGATGACATTGTTGGTTGTTTTATGTTTGCATTGATTTGTGAAAGTATGCACAATTTTGTATCTTGCAGTAATCGCGATGATATACCCTTGGTTATTTGTAAGCATGTGGTGTAGATGTTGAAACAAAATGGTTTGGAGATTATTTTCTTAGACTGCGCACTAGGCGCAAAAACAAGCGCAACATAAAAATTTCTGTTTCTGTGTATTACATTGTATGGACGGGCTGTTTTCCATGGAATACAAAATCATGCATGGTATACGTCACAGTCAGAGCTATGATGCCGCGTTGCGCTTGACCTTCATGGTACTTTGCGCATCCTCTACAACATGGGTCGGGTCGGCACTCGCCTGCGGTGAATTCGGAGTCCTTGCTCATGGAGATGTGTTTGTGATGATGCTTGCTCGAGGGAGAAGTGGTGACAATGACGTCAGTGTGCTACCTCGTTGAGGCCTCTTCGCTGTGGTATTGTGTGTGGAGTATGTTGTGTGTGCCATTCTGCGGTTTGTGGCGGTCTCTCTCGGTTTTTCGTTAATTACCTGGGCAATTCTCTTCTTTTGCACCCGTTTCAAGAAAGAAATGACTCGGTGTACCATGTATGCAAATCCATCTAACTAACCTCGTTCGTGAGAGATTCAGATCGAGACAACCTCATCATCAGCACAACATCGAACACATCATGGATCATCATTTACCACAATGCTAACTATTTTAATCTTCTGATGTCTAATAAACTTTAAGTAGTGACATCATAATATATATCATACATTGCTCATAATGCACATTGTCGCATAAAAAGAAAACACCTTTTATGTGTTCAATTAGTTGCCCTTGCAAGAACCGAAAACTAGTTGAATTTGTGGTGTGGGGCTTCCAAGTGGGTATTTATTATTTATCCTTCCCTTCTTGTATATACTGAAGTATGAAATACTTCTTGTATTCCTTTGGTGCATAGCTTGCTTGTAGGGATTTTTTTTCCTGAAGTAATTTCTGGAGGGATTTTTTTTAGGGATTTTAAGTTTTAAACACACAACCCCCCTATTGACAATTTTCCTAAGACACATAGATCCCCCTGCTGCCTCTGCGAGCCGGCTATCGAGCTAGACACCCCCCCCCAAAAAAAACCACCTCCGGCGGCCGCCCTGCCGGGCATAGCACACACCCCTTAGCCCCACCATCTGGTCGTCACGTCGGACATACCTCCCCCCCTATACCTCACCCCTAGCCATCCTACCGAGCATAGCTCCCCCTACACCTCCTCCGATGTAACCCCTGACCTATATCTAGTACCGCATACTAGATTCTCTATCGTATACAGTACACTACTACTATCTCCTCGCATCCCTACTTGATGACACTCCCACTGAAGCCCGACCTGATAAAACCATGGAAATTGCATCGAACTACTGATTGGGACTAAAGATGCAAAATGTACCACACGACCCCCCTTACATGAGTGGACGCCGATGCCTCTCACCGCGGCGAGCGCGTAACTCCTTCCCATGATGTTGGAAGAATGGGAGCGTAACCCGCTGTCTGGGTGAGTAACATCCCGCTTCCCTCTTCCTGGTCTCCGGTTGTTGACCCGATCTCCGCGCAAATAAACTACCCTCAAACACTCCATAGTGGAGGACGACAATAGATGGTGGGCAAAGAAGGTGATGCTGTATTGGAGGAGTGAGGAAGGTGGAGGGAATGAGGGACCACGGCGAGCCGCCCGCGTGTGGCTTTGAGATGGGATGCCACACGTCCACTGGGAGATAAGAAGGGGAAAACCGATGTAGACACCATGTGTTTCACCTTTCTCGCCAGGGCTTCTTCCTTGAGTCCTATCATGATCGTATACTCGACGAAAGAGCTTTACAAGCGGCATTGCTCTTCTTCACTCACGTGATATTGCTGGACAAGCTTTTGCCCATCGTCCAAGGTTCCCCACTGCTGCCCCCCGTGAGCCACCAATGCCCGAGCACACAAATCTAGAGTTTCCCATGAAGCCACAAAAGATTGTGGCTAGACGTATCACCTTGACAACGCCAACAAGAAGGAAACAACACTGAAAAGCATCATCATCGTCGACTCTGGTAATGACCGGAGACAAGACTTTCGCCCGGATCCACATCCCAAGCCACATACACCACACATTCGAAAGCCTACCAACGAGACACCACAACCAAATCCAGACAGACCTAGCCCTCCCACGCCTACTCCTTGCCAGGTCGCTACCTCCGCTTGTTGATCGCATGTTGACGTGAAAACCGCTCGCCCCAAACGACATCTTGGGGCTTGTCAAAGATGTCTACGAGCTGAGGAGTCGGCCTGTGTGAAAAATTTGAAAGATGTTCACCGGGTGAGACGAATTTGTCCAATGAAGACCATGGTCTGAGTTGAAGAGGACACCGGAATTCAATCGATGTAGTCATGTCTCCTGGGGAGCGCGGTCAAAGACCCCTCCCCATCGCCGGATCTACAAGTGGTGTCATCGAGGGGGGCGGCAAATTTTAATCGTCACGACCTTGCTTCCAAACGATTTCGACCAAAATGAACACGTAGGATACATTTAGCATGACAAAATTCCATTTTACGAGTCCGTGAACTAAAGCGGTCGCCTGGGACAAGTTCTTGTATCATCACTGAATTTCACTAGACATTTCATTTTTGGGGGGTTAACTACATAACGAATGGATGAATTGGTGGTGGAAAAAAAGACTGTCTAAAATCTCCCCAAAGCCCTAGCCCCACGTTCCGCCCCGCCGCCGTGCCGTTCCGTTCCGTTCATCTGTCGTCGCCGCCGACGACCCAATCCCCTCCCCTCCCCTCCCCCCACCCCCCAAACTCCCCCGCGG